GGAGGAGCTGGCGTTCGACCGTGAGGCGCGTTCAGCAGCCTGCGGCGCCTTTTCGCATGCGAAGCCGTGGCGGCGGAAGCGCGCACGGACGAAACTTTTGCTTTTTGAGCCGATACGTTGCATGAATGCTGGGGTGACGTTGCATGAATGCTGGGGCAGACCTAAGAAGGGCATTTAGCTTTTCTCCTCTTCTTATATATTGAGTTTTAGTCGTTATTCGGGGGAATTTCTCTAGTTGCGGCCAAAAAAGGAGTTGGAGCAATTTTCCGAAAAGCAAGACGGCCGCCACCATAATTGCTTCGAGTGGGAAATTTATTTCGCTCGTCGCTATAAACGTAGGACTGCTGGAACGATGATATTGGAGGCGAGTGAGATGTCCACTAAGTTTCTGCACGAAGTGTGCCAAGTTTCATTAAGACAGCAGGTGTGAAAGTTGTTTCCAACGAATGAAGAAATAAAGCTGTACGGTATATCCAATATTGGACCCAGAATGTTGTGTTATAGCGGGCTGTGCAAAGTGCAGATTTGGGCACACGGGTGCTTGGACTTGACAGTAACATGACACAGCACTTATACAGAAAAAAAAAATGTGGCATAGGGAAACCAGGTGAAAATTTGGTTTGGGCGGCGTAACTCAATGGGAACCGGTTTTGACCATGAAAAGGCTGTCAAGAGAATACCACTGGTCGGGGGAGGTGGAGACTTTAGAGGTAGTAAGGGACTAGTGGACTGTACTTCCAACTGAAACAACTTTACGAAAGGTGGTTCCAGAGCCGAGAAAACGAAGTTGTCGGCCAACACACGGTTTGGCCGCCAAGGGCTTTTGCTGTCAGCTGTTGTGTAATAACCTGTTGTGCGAGGTGCTGATTTTCGGCGCACAGGTACTTGGACATGACCGTCACTTGGCACAACACTTATTATAACAAAAATAGTTGGCATAGCGAAACCAAGTGGAAATTTAGTTTGGGCGGCGTAACTAAGTAGGAACTGGCTTTGACCGTCCAAGGCTGTCAGAAAATACCACTCATCGTGGGAGGTGCACAATTTACAGGTAGGAAGGGACCAGTGGACGGTACTTCCAGTTCGAACCACTTTGCGATAGGTGGCTCTAAAGCCGAGAAAAAAAATTGTTGTCTACAGAACTCGGGGTGTCAGTGTTTCCACATCCAAAAGGAGGCTGATCAAGAAAGAAAGCACACCACATAAACTTCCATACTCAAACGCGCCGATTCTCCAGTGATTCCGAGTTCCATGGTTGTTTTCTTTAGATTTATATTTGTCACTTTTTTTACCGTTCAAATCTTTCTTCATGAAGCACAGATTGCGTGCCATATTTGTCCGGAAATATCATCGACACGTACTATGGGGACGAAACTTTTTTGGAGGGCATTCCTCCAACGAAATTGGCACTGCATACCCGCGAGTGTGGGATGGCATTTCAGTTCGTCCCATCGGCGTTGACACATGTAGGCGTTACTGGTACGAAAGCAAACGCAGAGCGCAAAGCGGCATGTAGAATATGTCAGCCGTGCCGACACAGTGGCAGACATGATCGGGAGACCAAATTTCTCGCGTCGTACGGCACGGCTCCATCGTTGTCGCTGTCCCACAAAACACCGGCGAGGTGAAAAACTGTGAAACTTTGTCTCCACGAGATACGACGCATAACTATTGAAGCACTTAATGACGCAGCACAGGCAGCACTTCATGTTGTGAACCCAGCGCAACAGCACCACTCCGACTTCAACGCTTACCAACGTACGCGGCGTGGTTTCGGTTTCGTTTTCTCTGGGGTGCTCACTGCCTACCTTCGGTACCGGCCGCGCGGCGGCGCACCAGTCGCGTCGCACGGAGTGTATAGGCTAAAGCACCTTCATGTTTCAAAAGTAGCGCAAGATGCGTCGATGCACGAGGCACGTGCAACGTGCAGCCCTTGGGAAGATCATGGCGGCACAGCGCAGCACTGACCTAAAATTCATACGCCATGAATTTCCCAGAATTGGCGCGCGGCACGTGCCTCGAGCATGTCTACAAAAATGAGTGGTGCCACTTTTCCCAGGCTAGAGGGGCTTTAATGTAGGCATCCTAGCCCTTTCAGAAGTACAGTGCCATCTAGTGGCTCAAATACTAGTCAAGTTTTGTGTGTGCTAATGGCGGTCAAAATCTCGTATATATTCAGCAACGGCAGACGTACGAAAGTTACGGTGTTCTTCGCTGTACAGTTCTTACTTTATTCGTTTCCGTTTCAATGGTGTCATAAGGACACTATCACTCTGTACGAGGAGCTTACTTGAGTAACACTTTGGATTGTATTCACCACATTTTATTGTAATGAGCTGTCTGGGGCGTGCTAAAGCCGAGCATTTCAAGGATCCTATGACACCATAAATTGCGTAGCACACAGAAAGCTATAAGTAGGGTTCCGTGTTTTCGGATAAATCTGAAAAACTCCGAAAAAGGCCGGCCGGTAAAATTTCCGTAAATTCGGGTTTACCTGATAAACTCCAATTTTAAATGTGCCAATGGATAAAAAAATGAAGAAAAGGTTCCTCTTTCTATGATACCGTCATGGGAAAATAAAATAAAATAAAATGAAACTCGTAAACTTAGTCAAACGAATGAAGCGAAAACAACTGTCCGCCTTGCGAGTAAACAACTGGTCTGCCAAGCCAGCCCCCCTCCCCCCCGCCCCCTCTCACCTGTTAAAGAATGAAACGACCGTAAGTTTTGATACATTTAGTTCTAAACAGCTCGTAATCTTCGCGGAACGTATTTCGAGCACTTGTTCCTCGTCCAGTTAAAGATAAGCGTTCGTCGCTTGCCTCGACGCTAACGACCTGTTGGAGTGTACTTATCCGCGCAATATCATCATGTTTTAATAACACGAGGACAGCGGGTTTGAGGACGAGGCACTATTTTCTTACCTCCTCATCCGCAACAACTGCAGTTTCCAAGTATCTTATCTAGTGCAACGTGCAAGCTGCAACTTACATTGTACAGCGTGTCGTCCCCTGCGATCATTCGAGAAGGTTCGACGTGCTCTCCACACACTGCTACACGTTTGGTCGCGGTCCCTCTATTAATTCGCTGTACAATCCAGCTATTGTAAGTTCCTTTCAGCGAAGTCCAGACGCAGCCGACGCCACGGGGAAATGGGACCAATCAAGGAGCGTTAAAAGAGTGTCACTGAGCCTTTTCTATTTATGATTGGTTCAGCGATGATAGGTAAAGAAACATAACGAACATCATGACAGCGCCCTTTTGACGCCGTCTGCTTTGCCCCTCCAGCTCGTATTGTCGGCATGCATCTGGACCTAAACTGAAACGAAGTAGAGATGCACGATTGGCAAGTACTGTCGCTTAGAGAACTATGCATGGCCGGCATGGACGTGTCATTTAAGCGTCTGTCCTTCGGCACGCGCTTCGTGCCTTCAGCTGTGCTTTGGTTGCGAGCACGCGCTCGACGTGCACGAAACGCTGAAGCGTGTTGAAGATGGGAAGCTCGCGCTGGAGGTGGGAGAACCGTAATTGCCCTCCCAGCCGCTTTCATATTGTCGGTGACCTTGTTTTGCCGCCGGCATGTGTGTTTGGTACACGAGTATAGACCATTTTTTAAAAGTTAGAACCGCACCTAGTGACATATTCAAAAGCTCTATTATTTTCGCTCTGATGACGATGATTTCAGAAAAATATTACCGAATGGCAAGCACCTTCGACTCCGTGAATCGCAGGCAACGCGCAAGGACAAACTTGTTAGAATCAAATTCTCTCTTCGGCTTCCTGTGGCGTCCTTTTAATTTGTTGTTGCAAAAGTTGCGTAATTTTGCCATTATAGCATCAGGATTGGCTCCGACAGAATGGATAAACTCAAAAAGGTATATCGCAAACCTGGTAAAGCTATCTTCACGTGCATGCTGAGCGCTCTTGCCAGTCGGGACGCCACGCTTGAAACTTTCATATTCTAAATACAGCGAGTTTCGAAGTTTCGGGACAACTTCATTTCAGAGTCCACTTTGATACTAAATCCGCTCTTGTAAAATAAATAAATAATTATTTTACGCTGAATAATTAAAAGCGCCCTCGTCAAATCGCGCATTTAATTATATCTATCCTAGAAATCACGATAGATTATGATAAGAAAAAAAAATATTAATACGATTTGTGAAAAATATAGGAGAAATAATAGGCACATACGTTGGTAATTTGGAATCAATCCTTAAAGAATTGAGCCAGTGGCGTAGCTTAGTAAGTATTCAGAAATCTGTGAGTGCGTCTGCCGCATGGAAGCAGCTCTGCATCAACAGCTTCTTTGGCAAAGTCAGAGGAGATAACGCAAAGCTACTCTGGGAGCGATGGGAAAAGATAAGCGTCTGCTTCGCGTCTGTTACAAATTGGAATTGTGTTGGGGGTATGTTTATACAGTCTGAAGTTAGTCAGCCCCAATGTGCGTCTGGCGACTCAGCTGTCGATGAACAATTTGGACAGTGCAGTACATCCGCTAGCCTGGTGTTTTTAACGTGCACCACGCAGCAGTAGAGATACGCGATCGCACGCCGGTACGATGCTTATCCTATTCAAAACGGGCAGGGGTCGAGATTGAGCCCAAGATGCCTGGGATCTGCAGCGCGAACTTTCGCTCCACGTGCTCTGAGCTGGCGTGCGCTAGCCCACTCGGTCACCGATCGCTCGCGTCGCTTATCCGGTTAAACTAAGTCTGCCGATAAGCCAAAAAAGAAAACGCGGAAAACAGAAACAAGAGCGCATTCAGCGGAGCCTCGCGCTCGAAGCCAGCGTGGCCGCTGATGCTCGTGCCCAAATCGTTCTTTCGGTCCCACAAACAAAACCCTTGGCGTGACGAGTCGTACCCGTATTTCCCTTATTGACTAGCTAAGGCGGAGGACTGAAAAAACTCTGCAGCGATGTTGTCACTACCCCATACCTTTTCAGAATCGGCGTCCGAACGCGGCAATGTTAGAAGAAAAGGTAAACACCGGTCTCACCTGTGCCTGTCAAACTTGGCGTATTTCTGCCACTCCTTGGGGTTGCTCTTGTACGAAAGCATCAGGTCGTGGACGTACTCGACGTTGATGTGGTCCGACTGGAAGACGCGGTGAAGCTGCTCAATGAGGTCGGCCAGCGAACTGGCCGACGGAGGCTTGTAGTTGCCGGCGTCCGTCAGCTCCATGAGGGGATGTTCTTCGCCACTGATTTCCTCAAGCTGGATGGCGGAATTTTTCTTTCGGAGCACAAGCCGCCCTTTCCCTCTTCCCGAAAGGCGCGCTCTCTCTCCTCTCTTTCGCTTATGTCGCCCCGATAGTCGAGATAGGACGTGACGTCACGACGTCTGCTGTCTTCCTTGGCCAATCGGAAGAACGTCCGCCGCGTAGACTTGCGCCCGCGGCAGCGGTGGTTCATCGCCGCCGCAACAGGTCTTGTTTACGTGTCGTTGCGAACGGCGTGGGCTGACATGGCGGGGCTGAAACCGCCTTTTTTTTCAGCGTCGCCGCTTGCGTTTTCGCGAATCCTTTCGCGAACGCTTTTCCGTGCATGGCTGTCTAGGTCAATAATGCCATACAAGTTTGGATGGACAACATACCCCACGCTAAACTTAAAAATCAAATTATACGTAAATTAAAATTAAGAAGAAAAAAAAGTTAGCAGCTGCAGTTGACGCGGCGCAAATGTATGTTTCATTTGCTGCAGAGACAGCTGTGAGCTTTTATGTATCGAGATCGAGGCCGCAAGAACTCTTTATAGACACGCAAGATTAGTGGTGCCATCTTTTGACTGTCACAGCAGTTGATGCCTATCAGGACACGTCGCTAAACTGGATGGAGACTGGATGCGCGCGTTGATTTTCGCTCTCGGCAGGGGTCTCACAAGCCAATGTCAGAAAGGCTGAGGGCCAATAAGAGCGAAGGAGGAGAAAGAAAAATTGTGTAAAAAGGAAAATAACCATTTGTAAGGCTGCAGTGTAACTGAGGATAAGTGATGCTGCAAAATGTCATAAGGAAGAGAGCTCCCTCTTTCTGCTTCTTGAAAACTTGCCTTTTTTTCTTTTTTTGCCAGTGACTCTGTAGGCAGTATTCAATTGAAGAAATGTCCAAGTTTAAGTTGTCTGTTCAGAACTCATGTTCAGAACGAACTCATATGCTAATGGGCTGCCAAGATGGACAATCTTGATAGTGTAGAATGCACGTTACAAAATCACTGTGGTAGCACGGCATCAACACGCGCCCCGCTCAGTAGTCACACTACGGTATACCTGTAGCCACACACTCAGCTATGGTCGCCAGTGAATAGACGAAAAGAGGTATAGACGATATAAACCTCTTGCCAAGAGAACTATTAAAAAAAAAAGTCTATTATGCCATACTATTAGCGTCGAGATGTTTTGGTGGCGCCCTCCTAAGGTTCCCTCTCGTGACGTCATTACCTTGCAAACAACAAGTTCGATTGTGTTTGTAATTAGCGTACTGAAAGCTTGACATCTTCGCGGTCTCAAAGCAACGCTGCCAACACCGTCATAATTGAAGTTCTTACATTGCTCTTTTTTCTGTCGATGAGAACACCTTTACTGACGTCACAGTCAGCTGTGAGCCAATTCTGGAAGGCCGACCACAACGACGCTTTCGGTCGCGCACGTCGCCAATAGATGTGACCAAACAGTTTTTTTTTCTCAGCATTTATCATGTGTGTTTGAAGTCGCATCAAGTTTCCATGTCATGTACGCGGAAGGTTCGGTCGAATTTCTTAAAGTGCATTATCGTATATGTTGTGGAACTACCATGTAGTGAATTGCCATAGCATAGTTTTTTTCTTTCTTACATCCAGCATGGTTGATGACAGAATGACAAGAATGTTTAAGACTGCCCTCCATCCATTTCGCTGCCAGTTTCTCATCGACTGAGCACTCTTTAGTTGGGCAACCAACAGAATCAGCGGAACGTAATTAACGCATAATCGTTTATCATTTTCTTACGAGCTGCCGAACTCGAGGTTCGCGACCATGAACCTGAACGTGGAACGTTACACGTCAACGTACCACAATTCGTGCAATAATCCATATGCTTACAAATAAATTCTCAAGTTATATAAATGACCATACACAAATATTTTTACTCCATTTCTCTGTTATGGTAGTACCATAACAGAAATGGAGTAAAAATACTTGTGCTACTATGTCGTCATTGCATCATCACTCCTCTCGTTCATTATTTTCTGCCTCAGGTCAAAGCAAGGTACCTTTTGATGCGGAGTTGTCTCTACAGGCAAGTGTTCATTTCTACAGCGTTCGTTTCATCGTCCTCGACAATTTCAGTGACGAGGATGACCATGGACTTGGCAGAACATGTTGAAGATTCTTACTTTTTCGCTTCGCTTATGGCTTGTACCGTCGTCCTTTTCAATGTCAACTACAAGAGTGGTATGCAGTCGGCCTGACGGTCAGACAATGCCCCGTTCCTCTCTGATATAACGTACAATTGTCCTTGACAATTTTACTAATGTTCCAGTCTATATCCTCTGTCAATACGTAATGGCAAGTACTTTCCAGTACATGCCATACTGCACTTCCTGGTAGTACACTGCAGGTATACACACACCAGTCTTCGAGATCGAGGCATGCCAAAGTAACCTTAGTCTACAAGCATCCAAAGAATCCTTGCTATTTCTGATGGTCCTTCCACATGCATATTTTAGTTTTATAAGTGTGACTACAAGGGTTACGGGTATGCATAGTGTTCTTTTCTTGTCTAATGTTACTCATGTGCAATCGGAGTGTATAGTGTTGTCTGAGTGCAGTTTTCTACATTGACAAGGAGGTCTGACGTTGAACTTTTTTGGTGAGCTGACGTCTGCCGTCTCGCAGAGGAGTCGGCTGTCAGGTCGATATTTTCTGTCTAGTATCAGAAAAAAAAAATCCGCTTAATGCTATTTATGAAAGGGGATAATGTTATTCTTTCTGTTTCCAAGGTATAGTCAAACAGTGGTATATTTGGTTGCAGTGAAAAACGTTCATGCTTCAGTCGAACTGAATTCTTCTCGACATAGAGCAAGGTGTCTCAGTATTTGTTTAGTCTTCATATCCCCTCCGGTAACTGTATAGGTTTTTTTCTTTTTGCCTGTAGTAATTGGTAGGATTTTCTTGTGTGTGTGAACTTATGTATCTTCTTTCAAAGAAGTAAGCTGTTTTCCCCCTTCTACCCCTTACTTGATTATCGAACATTCATTTTCTATTAAAAGGCCTCTGACACGCCCAAAATTTTTTTTTTTGTTGCTAGGCGTTAAAATGGCATGTCAGGACATTAAAAAAAATTGTTTCACTATAGAGTTGCGTAGTTTTTTTTTAATATAAAAATAGAAATACGAGACCCAATTCAAAGTTGCCGCCAGTGCACTGTGACGTAACAGTGTACCGCAAGGTGTCGGGGCGGTCAGAAGGGACGCATCGACCTACGTCACTAAAAGTGGGTTCGCAGGAAGTCACGTGAGTTTCACTGCTCGTGCTGTCCACGACCGTGCCTAAGACTTTTTTTTTTTTGTTCCTGTTCTTTGTACGAGCGATTGTAGAAAACGAAGTTTCAGTCCGACTATACTTCGTTTCACCTATGTTGTACCGCAGCGAAGGCTAGAGGCGCGAGCTCATAGCGTTGGCAGCGCTTGTGCCGCCGAGATGTGCCCCAGAGCAAGGAGCTCGCGCCTGTTGCCCTTCCTGCGGTACACCATAAGGTGTAACAGGGTATAGCTCTATATCGCTGCACCGTTGGTTAGTTTGCGTGCTGTAAAAGTTGAGGACGAAGAGTTAGTGGATCGACGTGATGGAGGTCAACGAGGAAAGCGCTGCGAGTACAAGCCAGTGTACCAGTGCCTGCCGTCAGTCCGAGGATACAGAGTTATACTGGGCACAAAAAAAAAACTAGCAAGTTTTGAAAAAAAAAAAAAAATTGAGAACGCTTGCAGAAATTAGGATTGCTAGCGTACGACACGCCCAATTGCATTGTTGAAGGTTCGGACACCGAGGTTGTCGAATCATCGTATACTCTCCAGGCTGAAGATGCCTGCCGTCTCTCGGAGATGCATACAGTGTGATCTCTTCTTCAGTTGCTGAAATACCGGAACAGTCCCTCACACAGCACACAGCACATTGTAGTTGATCACGTCAATTCACAGACTCCTCTTCTTCTCGATGAAAAGCAAATATAAGAAACCTTGTCTGCTTGGATCGCCCGTGGAGGTGCGGAGAATAACAAAAAAATATTTAAAAAAAGATTACACGCGCTCGCGGTAAGCACGAGGAGGGATACAACTCACGTGACTTTCGGTGATGCCTCCCTTCTGACCGCCCCGACACCTTGCGGTACACTGTTACGTCACAGTGCACTGGCGGGAACTTTAAATTAAGCCTCGTATTTAAATTAAAAAAAAAAAAAAACTACGCACCTCTATAGTGAAACAATTTTTTTAGTAATGTCCTGACATGCCATTTCAACGCCTAGCATGAAAAAAAAAAATTTTTTTTTTTGGCGTGTTAGGGGTTTTGCAACACGGTGGAAGAAATACATTAAAGCGATGACTCTCTGTCTCGCGCGGCGACCACATTGTGTTCGGCGCACCGTGCGCGCTTCACTCGCACGGGGATAGATGGCGCCCACGTATAGAGGGGCTTGTGAAGGCTTGTATAGACGGCTTGTAAAGGAAATTATGCATTCTTTACTCGGTCCCTATGTACTGTGTTGTGAAATGATGAATTTATGTTGGCGCACTGGCAGTGATTGCCTTTTCCCCCGTGCGGTTCCTCCTTTTTTTTTTTTAGCGAGAACATTCCGATGATGATTTAACGTGACAAAAATACTCGTGTAGATATAAATCTTCTCGGCATAATCTACTGGGCCTTCAATAATTTAGAGTAATTTAGAGTAAACACCTGGGTCGTACTTGCATGTTTTGTCAATCAACTTGTTTGGTAACAGTTCCGTAACTTGTTTACACACATTGCGTGGCTTTATATGAGGTCGGGTGAATTTTTCCACACTGCTCCTGCCTTATTGAAAAAAAAAATTCTGATAATGTTACATAGTGGGGCCCAGATAATTGCTTACATGCGCATAAAGGTGCATTACAAATGGTTTATACATACAATGTCAACTTGTACTGTAAAGCATACAAACCTTGTGAGCAGAAAAAAAAATCCTATTTATGATCACATAGTGACTGAAACGATGACACAGTATGATGACATACTGACTGACGTGATGACACAGTGACTGAAAGTCAAAAATAGTAGTGGTTATAAGACATAAATCACTTTTCATCTATACTCTCACAATATGGCGTCACCCTGTCTTGCAGGTAAAAAAATGCCTGACAAATATTTTTGCTTTAAAATGTACATAAAAGCTGAATTCACTGCATACTACCAAAGAACGCCATCTCCTACATCCTGTGTTTCTCGCCCATGCCCTTAAACTAAGACGAGCGCTACTTTGCTGATTTCTTTATTTCTAGAGCTTGTTTGTTCATACTCATCGTAATATGCTACAGTGTTGTCGCATGCGCATGCTGAAGTAGTAGTGGAGCAACTGGGCAATTGTTTCTTCTTTGTGTTCAGCGCATGAAAACGTTAGTGTGCATGTGTCAAGTACACTGTCGATTGCGTCCCAGGAGACAGTCTGGTTTCTTTATTTTCCACGAAGAACTGTTCCGTTTTCGTCTGTAGCTGGAAAA